GGGTTTGAACTGCCAGCCTTCTGGTTAGCAGTCAAGTGCCTTAGCCACTATGCTACCAGAGCTCCCATAGAAGTGGTAAAAAGCTCTGCTGAGAGTTCCCAGTGAGTCTACTACAAGCCCACACCTTTGCAAATAGCCTCTTTATTAAAACCTTCCTCAATTAATCCTGATCTGAGTGTGCCACGTTTTTGTCATTGAGATCAGGCTGGGGGAGGGATCTTGTAACTTGAAGCCAAAAGCAGCCTAAATGAGATCCCTAGCACTAAATTCTAGTTCCTAAAAACCAGAAAAAGTCACAGTATGGGGAATTCCAGGACCACTTCTCATCCCAGTTTCTAATGAAGTTACTATGCCTGTGGGTGTTGGGAGACAGTGTTTGATGTCAAAGAGGAAGAAATAAATGGTACATGGATATGTGTATTTTCTGGGCAGCCTCCACAGATTACCCTTTATATCAGAAAAAACCTTTAACCATACATAATGAACATTTATATACATTTTTATTGACAATAATCCTGTGAGGTAGGTCTCCTGAATTTTACAGTTGGGGTCAGGTCAGGATCAGAAACAGGAAGCAACTTATTCAAGGTTACAGCAAGGGATGAAACAGGAATGGAAACCACATCTACTGACTCACATTCTGTGGTCTCTCACTCCCCGGGCCACCCCTCTTTCCATGAATCCAGCACAGGAAGGCAGGACAGAACAGAAAGGAAAGGGAAATGCAAGAGTAAGGGTGACTTGTGGGTTTCTGCTGCCCTTCTTATTCTCATTTAAGATTTTTCTGAAATTCCTTTAATATCTAAGAAAAGCCACATACACTTAAAAAACCCAACCCAACAGCTTGCAGTAGCCTGAGATTCCAGAATAAATACTGTAATTGGCAGGACACATAGTATCCTTCCTCTCGATGGGTCACATGGGGACATTGCCTAACATCTGTCATGTGTGTATGTCTGGGAATATACAATATTTATGTCTCATCAAACCCTCAGATGCCTCTTTCTTCTGCCAAAAAGAACTGCTGTGTCCTACCTTCTGATCTAATCTAAAAATGTCATCAAAATCTTGCCCTAAAGACCTATAAATTCTTTTTAAACAGAGGAGGCTTGAGTATCCTCTCAGCCTCCTAAGAGAACGGTTCAGATGAAATCCTGCCAAGTACTGAGTAAATGGGAGTGGCTTTTTTTTTTTTTTTTTAGTGGAAACCATAAAGCTATGCTGTGGCCACATTTTCACAATACTTCAGGAGTGGGAGGGTGGTCCCTCTGCCTGGATAGGCTGGAAAGCTATTTAACATTTTTGTTCCCGGGAAGCACAGCCCAGAATCAAGAGTCAAGACCAAGTCATGAGACTCAGTGGAGTCAAACCCTGGCACCAGCCCCAACTGCTTCTAGGCAGCTGTGCCTTTGCCCTAACAAAACCACCCAGAACATGCATATGGAAAAACAAAGCAAGATCTAACACATCCTAGGAAACTGAGCCTTAAATCCAGTTTAATATTGGAATCTTCTTCGTGAGCAACTGAAGGTGGCTTTCACAACCAAAGGTGTAATAATCAATGTAGTGAAATTAGTTATTTGTTTTATAACCAATTATCCAATTACTGTTGGAAACAGTTGGCTCCTATTGATACAGGAAGATAGCCCTAGTACTGTGTAGAGATGCAAGCTGCCAAACAGTTTTTGTGAAAAAAAAAAAAAAAAAAATCCATCAGTATCAGTGATGAAGACAGACCTGGAGAAATAGTTAAGGTACTGCTGCCTGCTGCCTGTGGGTAATGAGCTTATAACGATCACTTCCCTTTGTATTCTCTCCATTTTTGCAAAGCTCTGGTAGCGTAGTGCCTAAGGCACTTGACTACTAACCAGAAGGCTGGCGGTTCAAATCTACCAGCCACTCTTTGGAAGGAAGATGGGGCAATCTACTTCCACAGAGATATTGCCTCGGTGCAGTGTAGTAAGGTACTTAGTATGGCTTTTCTACCCATAAGTCATTGTAAACTCAGTGGTGGAATGAGCAACTGAAGAGCTGATT